AAAAACATTGTATATTATTTTGGTGGTTACATGCACTATACAAATAGGGCATTTGTATACGGTGAGATTTCAGGTTCTTGTGCCAACGAATGTAAAGATGATTGTCTTCTTGGATGTTGCTTTGTGTAGACTGTAGAAATGTATCGATATTTCAGAGGTGCTTATTACGTATATCTGCCAAGAACTACGTGAGTTACTGAAGCCAAATTTGATATGACTAGTGTACATCAAGGTTTTTCGATCAAATCTATTACCCTGACATTGGTAACAGTAGGTTCCTCTGAAATTTGGTAAAGACATACAAGTCGGCGTCATAATCAATAATATCGTTGTCCAAATGTAATTTTGATTCGTAGTGGTGGAGTACATGGCGACTGCTTCTTCCGGTGCTGAAGTGGAAGTTTTAAATTTTCCAAAAAGACGTTTCACCGTGCATCAATACATGAAATAAAACAGAGATCTGCTATGGTTTTCAATGCTATTTTGAATTAATTTCCCCTGCCACAACTACCTATATGTTGCAGTACCTAATAATTTTTTTAAGATAATTTGTCACAAGATTTCGGCACTAAACGTGCAAAAGGAAATTAGCGAATCAGTTGATTTATATACATATATATATATATATATATATATATATATATATATATGTATATAAATCAACTGATTCGCTAATTTCCTTTTGCACGTTTAGTGCCGAAATCTTGTGACAAATTATCTTAAAAAAATTATTAGGTACTGCAACATATAGGTAGTTGTGGCAGGGGAAATTAATTCAAAATAGCATTGAAAACCATAGCAGATCTCTGTTTTATTTCATGTATTGATGCACGGTGAAACGTCTTTTTGGAAAATTTAAAACTTCCACTTCAGCACCGGAAGAAGCAGTCGCCATGTACTCCACCACCTACATTTAAATGTCGAACACTTACAGTTGGCACTTGGATTCACTCTAATAATGACTGAGGATAGATCCTGACGACACGGCCTCTCTCTTGTTGGTTAGACGTGGATTGGTCTGATCAAATGGATGTATCAAACTGGTAAAAATTTAATGTCTCTGTGAATCTTTAAATGCATAGAAACTATTCTCATCTCCAAGTTTGAAATTGTGGTATGTACTTTAATTGTTGTGTGTATGTGTTTGCGGGTAGCCTGGCTGTTTTCAGTTGCTTTTGGTGTTTTAGTGACGTGAGAGCAATTAAGTGTCCGGTTGAACAGTTCCCTTACTGATTCATACAGTATGCAAAGCAAAGTAAGGGATTTGGCAGGGAGGAGTACTGGACCGTTGTTTCTACGGCTTACAGACTCTGTAATTTGAACTTGTGGCATTGGCTTTCTATCGGGAATCGATACTGCAAATACAAAGAGAAGCATTGCTACAGAAATGATTCTACTTCGTGTCCTTACTAGGCTTCTTCCTTCTCTTTTTTTCGCCATGAATTACAAGCTAAGGATGTCCGTGTTTTTTTTTCTCTTTGTTCTAACTGCTGGACGGTGGTCCAATCAGAACAGGAATTTCTACAATGTTGTAGGGTTTGTTTGATCTCTCCGAGAACCCCTATCAGAACTACTTCCATTTATCTTTTCAATCAAGTCTTTCAACGGTATACACAAATAGTTAAAATGAGACAATAATTTTTAAGTACGGTTATAGGTACATTCTGGAAATGTAATTCCAAAAACTTCTCCTAGTTTTATCATATACGTTTGTTTGTCCCGCTAGTAACACAGTGATTATAAAACTACAAGATCGAAAAATAAGATTCTTCTAATCTATCGTAAGGCAGGAAGACTTTGTAAATCTCTTTAACAATAGTACAGCAAGATTCGAAAGTTCTTGTTATCTTCTCATTATAATATACTATCCCTTCGACACCAACACGGTGGTCTAGCGGTCAGAACACTAGCCTACTAGCGTGGGATTCCGGGTTCAATTCCCGGTGGTGCTCAAATTTATAACTTGTGTTGGGCAAGGCCGTGGTCTAGGCAACACGGAGTTTTCCTCCGGGGGCTTCTCCGGTTTCTCCGTGGCATCCCAACAATTACTCCATTCACACACAGAAGAAGGCAATGGCAAACCACTTCTGGATCATCTGCCAAGAACGTATATGAACAGGTACCAGTCCGTGGCCTCCCAACAATTACTCCATTCACACACAGAAGAAGGCAATGGCAAACCACTTCTGGATCATCTGCCAAGAACGTATATGAACAGGTCCCAGTCCGACAAAAGGATGGAAGGATCCTGTTCATATGGACCTGTCGTCAGACAGAACACTACAAATAAAATAAATCCCTTCGACTGTTAGCAACATTTTCAGCTATTCAGAACTGTAGCATCCTATGAGAAAACGTTAGGAATGGATATTTTGCAAGTGATTAAACGAATTTTGTCGTATCCTGTCCCAGCATAAGCATTATAATAGTCTGTCTTATGATTTTCATAGTTTTAATGGGCACGAAAAAGTCATGTATTTTGAAGCACAGCATTGTAAATCATGAAATTGCAAAATATGTACAAATACAATAAAAATTAAACTTTTCCACATAACCTACTTGCAAATAGAAGTTAAAGTTTAAATATTTGCCTATAAAGTTTGTAAATATCCTCAGAAGAGGCTTGTCTTACGGTATTCCCTTCAATCTTCCATTATCGTAAACCGTAGTTGTAAACTTTACACATATAGTGTAGTAGTTACCCGAAAATAGCAATAAAGAACACAACACGCGAATCGTGAACCCAGGCAAATTCTAAGCTACATCGATGTCACTAAGACGTTTTATGTTTCTTAAATGCATATTTTATATTATCCGGTCTCGTACTAAGATAATGCTTTCATCAAAGTTATCTTCAGTTTCAGTATACACATTACATCAAATGGGATAGCAGTCACATTACTCGCCAAATTTCGTTTACATCTTTTCCGAATTCTTCTTACATTTAGTCTTCGACGTAGGACGATATCTGTCGATTGCGATAAACTTTATTGTTACGCCGTATAGTATTTTATGTAGTTACAAAATTTTTGGAGGAACACGCGTCTCGAATAAAAGTAGAAGCGATCTGTTCCTCATAAATGATGGTAACCACTTGAAAGATTACAATAAATAACATTTTTTCTTGGTAAATATAACAACAGTTTTTATTAAAATCGAAATATTATTACTACGCTCGAAAGAAATACATTATTGGATCGTACTCTGAGCAAATTCAGTCCAGTAAAAACATTTTCATTATACGTCTCTAAAATATGTGTTAAAATCCTCCCACGCACATTTGGGTCTCCATAGTCGTTTTAATCTTTCCCTTTCCCCGACTACTCACCGCGCGTTCTACATGCCCCGTCCATGTCATCGTTGGTTTAATCACAGTACACATTATGAAACTCTCCGTTGTGTTGTATCCCTAGCATCATATTAGTTTCTTTCTTTTTTTGCTCAGACTTATTTCCGGGGACTTGATTCTCATGATAGTTGGCAGCCAATCCAGCGATCGTATTTTGCTTTCTTCCAGCTATCCTTGCTTGTTAATGTCAGATATAATTTTCGAGAGAATTTATGTTTTACAACTGTTTGTAACCGGATACCCAATGAAAATGTAATTTCCTGTTTGTAGTCGCAGAAATATGTCTTAATTTGCCTTTGATAATCCTTCTAACAGCGGTTTGAAGTAATCGTTTCCACTGGAATTCCTTTAGGAATAGTTTATAGCTCATTATCAACAGAAATTACATTTATTGCATTTCTAATTAGAAAATAGTTTTGAATCGACACTAAAATTAATTTTCACATACGGAACTTTACTTTTCTCTTTCCCGCTGACAATTACCGATATAAAACATCGTTTTATCCCATTATGGTAGATCTACATTTTGAAACAAGGTTTGAGAGCCTCTAGAATTTCGGGTAAAGTTCAGTTTAAAGATGATGTTGGTATACTCTTCGATAAGATAATTACACATTAACTAGACATCATTTATTCATCTTTTGAGAGAACATCATACTACACATTGCTACCGTAATTCGATTCAACTTTGAAAAACGTCCATAGATAACATCTATTAAAGTGTGTATACATTTCTTTGGGCCCCTCTGTATATAATCGGGTTTATTTCAATACAGCTCCAGCGGTCTACATATTTCCTTATTCCGTCACAAAAATATTTTTGCTTGGGTTTTAGTCTTTCGTGCAAAACTTGTTTCCTATTGCACAACTACCAGATGCGGGTTGTGCAGCTACTTTCAATTGCATTGTCATTCTACTGTAATTTCTTATACATTTTGTTGCATCTGTAACTCGAGGCTTGGATGAGAAGTCTCCACTCCATTTTATGATCGATAGAACATCATTTATGACTACCCGCCTATTTTAACAATATAACAAATTCAGGACGGCCATTCAATTGAATTTCTCTTCTTTTCCATACGTACACCGTCAAACATTTAATTACACTAATACCATTTGGTTAACTATTTGAAGTTAAAAAGAGAGAGTAAGGAAGTTTATTAGAAGAATATTTGCAAAGAGAAAATTACGGGGGAGAAATGAGAGGTAGCATGTTTATGGTTGCATTATTTTGTTAGAGAACTCCCAGGCTTCGCTGGTTGAAGCCGAAGATGATTTAATTAATGTTTAAATATTTAAGTTACTACGTCCAAGAGAAAACAACTCTTCTAAATTACAGATATAAATTAATTAGCGTTGTTATGAAAATTTAAGTTTCAATTATTCTAAAACCCATAAATACACTATACAGGAAAATTCGGTTATGTAATATTAATATTATTTATTATTAAAGCAGGTGTTCTTTGTAATTTTTAAATTCCCTTAAACGGTTAAGAGTGAAATTTACGAGAGACTTCTTTTTTTAATTACCTGCAAGTTTATATTACATTATATTAATTTTATAAAACAACTTTATATTATTTATTAATTGTCATTAATAACTCTGATATATTACCCGACAGTTGACTAAACTAGTCTTAACTTGTTACAGATAATGAGACATCTACTGTAGCATCTTCCGAAGAATCATTGCTACTCTCTGAAGCCACCACGGTTCCGTCTCCTTCTGAATCCCCTTTTTCGGTGAAGCTGTCGGTCCAGATAGAGGCAACAACAATTTTGTCACCGACAACTACGTTTCCTACAACAGCTCTCACTGCATTGCCGCATTCAGTCACACCAGAAGTGTCAACGGCCGGCATGGGTCGTAATTTCCTACCCTGGTTGCCATCAGTGCACCACCATCACCAAGGAACACGATGGGGCCCCTATTTCGAAGACGGGGCAGAGCCCCAGAATATCACAGCACGGGTTGGATCCACTGTGCTACTGGACTGCAAGATCGGTATGCTTCAAGATAAAACGGTAAGTGGTTTTTGAAGAATATACTCAGTCACTTTTACACTAGCTGAATTATATGTTTTAACTACTTCAAACTTACAGTTTCTACATGCACAATACTCCATGTGACATTGCCTTTGAAAAGCCACTCATCTAACAAATTCCTTGTTTTCATAGAACTCGAATATTCAGGGCTCTGTTTTTAACCCGCTGCTAGATTTTGTCCTCAGCCAGATTAATTCAATCCTTACCATCAAAATCAAATTTTTGAAGATACATTTTAATATTATCCTGCCCCCTTACACCTGTTTCAGTGGCTCTCGTTGCTTCTCTTCATGTTTCCGGACTAAATTTGTGTATGCATTGTTAATATGTACGCGTGTTACAAGCCCCGCTTGTCACATTTTCCCTATTTTTGTCGCCCTAATAATATATAATTTAAATTATGAATCTTCACATTATGTAATTTTCTGCTTCCTCCTGTTACTTCCTCTCTCTCTCTCTCTCTCTATGGCTCATATATTGTCATGTGCTCTCTATAATCAAGCACCGTCAATTTTATTCCTCCTTTAATTTGAAAGACCACAACAGAATATAGTTTCGTATATTAATATTTAAAAAAAACTGTCCACATACAAAACATCTGGAAATGAAAGAGTATTTTTTATAGATAAACACTAAAATAGTAGTTAAAAAATGTAGCAATTTGGTTACGATAAATGAAAGTCTCGGAGAAAGTTTGTAATCGTGAGGGGTTTTTTTCTGCTGCTCGTTGTATCCTAGATTTGAGATCTGCAGATTTCAGAAACGTTTTCAGAGAGTGCAAGTGGAAGCCCGGGTTTCGTGCCCTGCAAGGACTAGGCCCAGTTCTGTGCTTGCAACTGTAGGAACGGCACGAAATCGATGATTATCTACTCGCTTAGAAAAATATTCAAAGAATTTCTCGAAGCGCTGCAGGGAAATTCCGCCACTCTTAATTAACCAATATTAATTATCATCTATTATAACAATGACAATGTTACTGATGCATCGGGTATCACCGGGAACTTTAAACAAATCGGGGGTATTCAGTTTCGAACTATGATGAGGGGGCTTTTGGCACACAGTAGCAGAATCGTCTTCCTATACGTCAGATCATGCGAATTTTATACATAAGAGTAAATATTTAAAGTGACAAGCGAGAGACTTGGGATTTCTAATTTGTAGTTAAGTATGTATACAGTCTAATCTGCTAGTGATAATCTGATGCTGCCACCACAGATTTTCCGTTCCACCCGAAAGAAAAATGGTCATAGGTAATACTTTTCATGGAATTAAATATATTCATGACTAAAATTATGTTCGTTTTAACATAGGCTTTAGTTTTATCGATAGATTTCCGAGATGTTTGCTATAATGACGTGTCTTATATTAATATTGAAAGCTTTTATTCCGTGGGGCGGAATCCTTCTGCCCAAATTAATAGTCACTCAGACAAATCATTCGTCTTTTATGGAACTAGAAGAATTATTGCCATGCTCACAAGCGCCCGGCATCAGTCCCTCTGTTTAACAACATGAGTCCAGCCCACATCTTCGTATCCTACGTTTCGTTACAGTTTAATATTATTCTCCCATCTGTTCCTTGGTCTTCTTGATGATAGGTCCAGGAGTAATTCTAGCTAGAATTATGCATTTGTTAATTATCTTACATTATATTGAAAAATATAAACGAAATATTTTAACAGTAAATTCTGTATTTTGTACCCTGAACATTACTTCTAAACATTTTCAACCTCCTTTAAGATTAGCTAGGACACAACCCAGAAGTGAACATTTCACATTTCCACCGCCGTGATAACCTCAAATCACATAATGAGTCCTTCAACCGCTATCTTTGAACTGGAATTAAATTTAAATGGCTAGAAATTACGTACTTGGAGCGTGAAGAGAGTATATGGGCGAATGTATTTAGGGGCAAATTGAAATTTAGGCAATGAACATTAATTTTAATTGGTTAATATTAAATTTTCGCGCAAATTAATAGTGATCAAAACAAAAGTTCTTTTTAAACTTATGTTATGTAATGAATCCTACAAAATAGTTGTATACGATTAATCGTTGTAGCGAAAATCGATAACTTGAAACGAAGTTAAAAGTTATTGGATGTGGTCAGTAAATTAGTGATTTTACGGATGACCATTTGCGAACTCCACTGGGAGTTGATGCAACATAGTTAATATAATGTCTAGGTTACCAGCTGCACGACCTTGGTTTGATTCCCGGCAGAGCTCGATTTTATTTTCACCACATCATTCAGACCGACTTGAAATCCCGCCAAGTCCTCTGCTCAATCCGTATCGTAAAGGCTGAAGGGGCTCGGTCGTTAAGGTAATCAATTGTTTGCCTGTACCTAAAGCTGAGATTAAGAACTCCCAGAGCTATACCTAAAAAATGATGTGGTATTTGTTAAAGCACCAAGGACGGATCTTTGTGGGTTGGGTTTGATGAATAAAAGCAGAACTCAAAGTTAGTAGGTTTTGAGGTCCTCGCGGTGGTGAGTAAGAATATGACTGTTTTCTGGGTTGTAGTGACGTGTAGTAATTAGGGCGATGATGTCCGACGAAGCAAGGACCTCTGAAACGTTTGTAAACTGTTATAAAACTACAATGAGCTACAATCCAGAAGACAATCACATTTTACACTCTGTACGTAGTTTAAGCCAGTGTCTGTCAACCAGGCGCCAGCAACTTGTGCCAAAGGAGTTCGCAAGCTGAGAAAATTCTATTTATTTTGTTATGCTGTATTATAAGTTTCAAACTTTTTACATAGATTTTATTTCCACAATGGGAAAAGGTAAATTCCGAAAAATTATAACTTCTGCCTATATTTTAGTTAGTTTTCGTTCGATTTAATTAAAATATACTTACTTAGGTTACTTAGGCGATCCGTTCTTCAGTGCCTTGAGCATCTGTGGGTCCCAACTATTCGTTGGCTTTGATCTATTAGACACTTGGTAAGACTCTTTGGACGAGTGATCAGCCCATCGCAAGGCCTCTACCTGTACACAGGACAGCCCAACACAGAAAGACGCGGACAAACATCCATGGCTTGAGTGGGATTCGAACCCACGGTCCCAGTGACCAAACGGCTCAAGGCCCACGCCTCAGACCATGCGGCCGCTGTGACGGCAATTAAAATATATGAGGTAATTTTGGCGGAGGGCGTCCGCATTACGAGAGGGTTGGAAAACGCCGGTTCAGTAACGAGGTCAAACATTTTCGTAAACAGACAAAACCCTTCCATTGTTCGTTCATTTTCTGAACTTCGTGCAAAGAACATAAATAATCTGAGGAACGCGACATATATTTAACATCACGCAAACCATTTCACAGAATATTTTAGCCACTGCACTGTGTAATAAATATGCATACTTAATGCTCGACCGCGGCCGTTGAGTATAATGGTTCCACTAATTCCCCTTTGGGGCACGACGAGAGGGTAAATAACTACAGTCCGCTAATGTACACTGCGAGTGACAGAACACCTTTTTCACGTGAATAATCGACATTGAAATATATCAGACTTTCACAGGAACATTCCATAAACTATTGGTGAGACAGCGAGGGTTGGCCGATGGTTAGACATCATGCATTGGCGTTTGAATGTTACGAAAATTAACACCACAGACACTTGTAAATGGACATGAAATCTGCTACTTCTATGTTTATAATACTTTTGTGGTGAATTCACGTTAAGTTTCGATCTAATATAGCCGTGTTTCCTTAACACTATATTGTCACTTCTAGTTAACATAGGAGAAACTTAAGAAGTCTGTAAAAGATAAGGTTCCCGCGGCCGGTAAAACTGTTGATTGCAGTCTTTTGAACCATTATATCGTGGACTCTTGTAGGTGGTTACCATCGTACCGTAAGAACTTGGTCTTTATCGTAGTGGGAAGGTAAGATGATAAGTTTATCCGAAATATGGTAATCACCTACGAGACTACACGGTGTCGTAAGCGAGAAGGCAGCCCAGAAGCTTATCAGCGATCAAGGCCCGGTCCTTTCATTCTGAATTTATAGACGAGAAACAACACAGCCTCGGGCATACATATCTGCTTTCATCTATTAGTATTTATCATTATCCTATAAGACTATTGCTAGCTCCTCATTTTTAGTAAATTTAATATTTTTGCACCGTTATTAATATGAGTGATTTATACATTTTATGGCGCTGTATGAAATCGAACGGCTTATTTGTGTCACTAAAATGCATTTCAGAGCAATTAATATAGAAACAAATAAGATAAGACATGTTAATATTTTCATATTACTTCAAAGTTATATTGTAAGTATTTCCCTGAAAAAATATTAGTTATTTCTTTTCGTGGGTCTAAAATATTTGTTGAAATACCTGCTATTCTGTTTTTTAACGATTCTTTTCTGTATTTTGAGTAATTGCTACTCAGTTTCGTCAAAAACGTTCAAGATAAGAAAAATTAAATTAATAAAGCAATTTGTATGAACAATTCATGAATATGAAGACCTTGGAGGAATAAAAGAAGATATACAGCTCATTTTAGAAATGTGTGTGTTCTGATGGGGTAAAATGGTTTAAGTTTTGAAAATGATTGTACGGACTACTTTAGATAAAGTGTACGTACTTGGCTATTAAGGAAGAATGATTCTCCAAGCTGTTATCTTTCAAATTGTCACCATCAATCCTGTCCGCTCGCTCTTTAGCTTGAGGGTGGATATCATAAATCCTCCGGGTGGAGGACGGTAGTATGATGCTGCGGGAAAAACATGTTGAATCAGGGCACATCTCTACTTAAGAAGTATGCTGTGATTACGATACTTCTGCCCCCACGGAAGACGTCAGATGTCTTTCCGACCTTCAAGAGGCTAATAATACGAGAGGCGAAATGTTTCCGCACGACTGAAGTCGTATGTCGTGTTCCTTGTGACTGCTCAAGTGTAGCTGACTGCATTTTCTAACAAGACTCCATGTCTGTAACGTTACCCTGTCAACATGGATGATGGA